TGTGTGTGTGTGTGTGTGGGTATATGTATATACATCTGTTTAAGTTTAGTTGCTGGGTGTTTGTTCTCTTCATTTGCTGATGGTCAGATGTCGGGTGTGGTGTCCTGTGTGTTATTGGTGTTCATTTCACATGTTGTGTAATTTGTATCGGTTTCTCTCTTTGCAGGTCTTGTATTTCTCTTCTACTTTTTCCTTTTCTTCTTTACTATAGTGTAAAAAAAGCCACTGATGATGCAGGAATTATGAAACTAACATTCAGTTTTGTTTTCTACTGAAGTGGCTTAGAGGGGAAAAAAGGATAAAATTATCCCATTGAAATCAGTGACATTAAAAACATTTTGGTGAATATTATATCTAGTTTGTGTTCAGTAGGAGGTTTCTCCCAAGTAAAGTGAAGATTAGGGAGGTTTATTGAACTGTAAGCAGACGAGCCAAGAGTAAAAACAAATATGACTTGTGCTGCTTCCTGTTTATTGTGTACTGATTTTGTTTTACTCACATATTCATGCTTATTTTAGGAATCCCCAAAACAAAATGTATTATAAAATGCATGCCCTGTTTTTAAATTAAGCTGAATTCAAAGCCTGGACTGTAAATATATTATTTTCTGCTCTCAGTTTTGTAACTTTAAACAGGTTTTTATCACAAAATAACTACAGTAACTGCCCACAAACCGACTGTTTCAGCCTAATTGCCACTTATTTAATGAAGGATAGGCGGGGGATACCTCAGTCAACGTCAGTCTTATCAATCACCAACAGACTACCACCATCACACACACACAAACACACACATGTAGGGATGCAGATACAGATAGACGGTGTTCATTTCCCAACAATGTATCAGGGAAATTGGCAGGCCTGTTTGTGCTGCTTCACCAGGTGGGGTCCTGCTTTCACAGCAGGCCTCCGTCACCACTGCGTCAGCGCTGATGAGCTCAGCGTTTGTCTGAGAGGGGAGGGAGTGAGAGCTGGAGACCAGAAGATGGGAGAGAGACCTAAAAAACAAGCAGAGGGATGCGGAGAGAGACAAAGACGGGAGTGAGAGGGGTGTTGCCGCCTCTGAGACACACTCACGCAACAAAGAGTAACAGCAGCAGCAGCATCAGCAGCAGAGCATCCTTCCAGTCTTTCTCTGGGGACAACAGACCTTTTCCTTGACTAACGTACTTTTATTCTAAAACAAGATTCTGTGGAGATACTCAGCATTTCGCTATAAGGAGACTAACGTCGACTTGAAAAGGGAAGCAGACCAAAGCTTTCAGCACCTTGGAAAGCGATCATGGCTCCGATGTTGGAGGACGGAGCTCAGCCTGGTAAGTCCTGACATCCCACCATGTTTCACCCTGTTTATTCACTTTACCAGGTGTTCAGATTCCTAGTTATTCATAATTTACACATAATTATGTTTTTGTTTTACATTTTCTTTTATTCTTTGTTTATGGGCAGTTGTTTAATATTTGGAAATTCAGTAAATTGGAAGTGATTAAAATGTTTTGGAAATGCTTAATTAAAAAGAAAAACTTGAATTTTACAACCATCCGAAGGATTTTAGGTAATATTTGTGGGTGATTAATCAAAAGGGTGGAGGTCAGGCCATGTTCCAACCTCCATCAGGATTTGTTGAGCATCATTAAGAAATAAAAATAAATTATGTTTTAATAAAACGGAAATGAAACAAATTATATTATAAAATATAAAAATAGTCAAGGCTGAAAATCACTTGTCTGTCTTTCTGTCCTCACGCATCACCAGTTCTCTCACAGTCCCCCCACCGCTCCATCCATCTGTTCATCGCTGCAGCCGTGGAAAACGTCTCAGCCAGGACTTTAAACTGAAATTATAATGAGAAATGTTTCACACGGATTATTTCATGGGATAAAGCATTTTGATTTAATCATTTTACACTAAGCATCTATTTATTTACTTGAATGCCATATAAAAAACAGATCTAGAATGTCAATAATTTTACTAAATTGGCCTCCAGTTTGCCACAATTCCATTAGCGTTCATGTGTCACATCAGCATCTCAATTAACTGTGGTGTGAAGGCTATTATATACATGAATAAATGATCCAACACATTAGTTTTTGACCCAGTGAAAATGACAAACATGAGTGATCGGTCACCACCCCCGCACTTCCAGCCACATCGCTTCTTACGGGTTAATCGGAGTGCTTTTCCACTGGGCCCACCTCTTAATTGCAGGAAATGGACAGCATTTCCTCTGCCGAAATAAACCCATTAAATCTGGTTGCACCAGAGAGCAACATAATAGCTATTAAACCACACAGAAAAAACAAGGTATTCAGTGACAAATAGTCTTGAAATGTGGTGACACCACAGGAGACATACGTAACACTAAAGGAACTGAAGCAATGCTGTTCCGTAACACAGAAATATGCTTATGTGTGGGAGGACTGCTGTATACATCAGTATAATTATAGACAAATAAACAGAATATCAGTCCACTCTAAGCCAATTCACCAGTTGGGCAGATTTCAGAATTACAAATAGCAACGATGTAAAGTTGTAATGCAAAAAAATAACAAATCATTCAGTCTATGTTGTGGATTTCAATTAAGGTTTGAACAAACACCAAACCACTCTTGCACCCTTTCCTTATCAGACAGATATCATATGGGTGAGCCATTATTTAGTGGCTCTTTGGCTGTTTAACAACATTTTTAAATACCAGAGGTGAGATACCAGGGGGAGTTTCTTAGTGTGTGGGTGGAGTTTGTCCTAACTGGTATTGGCGGAGTACTTGGTGTGGGTGGAGACTGTCTTAATCGCAATCAGCAGAGTTCTTGGTGTGGGCAAAGTTTGTTTTCCAACCAGTATCGGCGGAGTTCTTGGTGTGGGCGGAGTTTGTCCTTAATCGTGATTGGTGGAGTTCTTGGTGTGGGCGAAGTTTGTCCTAACCGGTATTGGCGGAGTTCTTGGTGTGGGCGGAGATTNCGGAGTTTGTCCTTAATCGTGATTGGTGGAGTTCTTGGTGTGGGCGAAGTTTGTCCTAACCGGTATTGGCGGAGTTCTTGGTGTGGGCGGAGATTGTCCTAACCATTATTGGTGGAGTTCTTGGTGTGGGCGGAGTTTGTCCTAACCATTATTGGTGGGGTTCTTGGTGTGGGTGGAGTTTGTCCTAACCATTATTGGTGGGGTTCTTGGTGTGGGCGGAGTTTGTCCTAACCATTATTGGTGGGGTTCTTGGTGTGGGCGGAGTTTGTCCTAACCATTATTGGCGGAGTACTTGGTGTGGGTGGAGACTGTCTTAATC